AATTCAGTATGGACATTTTTAAAATTGTTTAAAGCAATTCGTTTCACAAGTTTTTTTTTATAATATGATCATAAATCAATAACCTCCTGTAATTTTTTTTTCTCTTAAAAAGTAATTAATGTATTAAATGTTACTGAATTGTATATATTTTTCTAATAAATATCCAAAAAGATTGTTCCCAAATGCAATTTTTGAAACGAAATTTAATAAACTATTTATTAATTTAAAATTTTTAAAGATATTACAAATATATATTAATTTTCAATTTGTAACTGATATTTTTTATAGTTTTTTATGAGTGCATGTTAAAATTGATAGTTATCTTTTTAATTACATGCAAAATGTCATAAAAACCTTAAGGCTTTTTTCTGCGTGCACTCATTTTTCAAAATTTCTTATACACTTAATTACGTACGATTAACTGGAATGTAGAATAGGAAGTGCTTAGTTGACGCTGAAAATTTAAAGACTAAATACTCTACAATCTAATTTTCTTGCCATATTTTTATTCGACCAGTTCATTTCCTTTTTATATAATTCTGTCATATGATAAATTCCATTAAAAGCAGATGAAAGATAATTTAGTGAAATGCCTATATGTAGTATTATATGCTTTAACACTTCTCTGTATTTATTCATATATTCGTCATGGAAATAAATTTAAAAAAGAACCATAAGTGAAAGAATTTATATTACTTAAATCAAAAAATTACCATTACTTACTCATTATTTTGCCTTCGGAGTTAAGGAAAAACTTTATCTTTATTAACTCTCGATATCTTTAAATAAAAACAAAAAACAATAAAGTATTATACTGAACTAAATGAAACAAATAAACAAACAACTGGAAGGAACTTCACAAATGTAATTAAAAATAATAAAAGCAAGCGATAAAATCTTTGGCCAACTAATTGTTAAGCTTATTACTACAACGGAGCACTGTACGTGAAAGATCGGGATTGTTGCCATTTGCTCAAACTTTGAAAAAAAGAAAACGTTTATTTATTTCTTTTTTTTTTAATTTTTTGTAGTTATTTTTTTAATTAATATATACTTCAGCAGAGCAGGAATGGAAACAATTAAAATACTTCTATATGATATATAATTAGTATAACTCTAATCTTTAAAAACAGTAAGTTTTCCAAATATGAAGGATTTGCAATTAATTATGAATAAATATAAAAAATAAATTTATTTGTAAAATGATAAGGGAGTATTTCTGTTAGCTTTCATGAGGCTTTCATTAAAAAATAAAATCATGAAGCAATTCCACGGAATTTTTCTATTTACATAATTTTATCCGGAGCTTATTGATGCAGCATTTACACCTTTTTCTCCGGTAATTTAAAAATAGATATTTTGAACTTAAGATTTTAAAAAGTATTTATTATTAAATACGAAAATGTTAAGAAAAAGTTTAGAAATCGTTAGGTTTTCTTCTAAGTAATCATTTTATTTTTTTTAAATTATAAATCTAACATATTTTAAATTATCGTTTGATTTTTTTTTCAGCAAAAATAATCGATTTTTTAAATGTTCTTTAACTTGTTGTTGAAACTGGTCTTGGCTTTTTACTGTTTTAAAAATAAAATTGTGTACTATATTTGAAATTGCATTTTAAAAGTTTTCAATGAACTTATGGAACTCCGTGGACATCCAAATGGAGGAAAAAGAATTTCATTTTCCTTTGTAAGAGAATAAGTAAGAGAATCCAAAATTACGTTCTTTATTTCATTTTGTAATAAATTCTAATATAGTTATGAAAGTAATGCCAATCTTAACTTCAGCACAACTATTACAACAAATAATTTAATACTACAGTAATTAATCAAAAAGTATTCAATAATATTAATTTCACTTTTACTTCTTCTAATAACTATTAAATTTTCAAATTTATTAATTATATTACAAATTAAAATTATATAATTCAATTTATATTTCTAATATCTATTAAACTGCTCCAAAAAAAATAAGCATTTGCATATTTTGAAATAAAGTCTAATGACAAATAAAATAAATAAATTCGGTTTTAAACCAGAATTGACTCATTAAATATGCAGTTTCAACTTCAATATTAAAGTCCAAATAAGCTAAGCGTAGCCCAAAATAAAGTGTATAAATTATTCTTTTTTTCCACTTAAGGAAAAGAATCTTTCAGAACTTACATATTTTTTCTACTTCTCGCATGAACTTTTTATTTAATATAAGAAAAACCATCAAATGAAATCTGAATGCAATTATATTTTATGTATCTTATATTTTTATGACTCTCTGTAAACTGTTAAGCCTTTAAGAGCAGCTATAAGATATACTCTACATCATTTTTGGAAATGTGTCATGATTCTATTATTCAATCATGTAATAGACCATAGATAGTAATAGAACATGGATCAATGACTTAATAGGGAACAAAAGAGAGAGAGAGAGAGAAATAGAGTACAAATTACAGTGTGTTCAAGTTATTGCTCAAGTATTGTTCCAGAAGTTGTAGGAAGGATATTAGCAATTGCATACTCCGGGAAATAAAATGAAGACTTATTTATCTTGTCTAGCTGCGGTGGCTCAGGGGATAGAATGTCCGCCTCCCAATGAGGTGACATAGGTTCGAATGCAAGCGGTGACTGGTTGATACAATTCTGCTCCCGGAACCCACAGACCACAGTGCTGACTTAAATATCCTCAGTGGTAGACGGATCATGGGTTAGAATCTCCTTGCCACCGGGCTAACCATGAAAGGTTTTCGTGGTTTTCCTCTCCATGAAACGCAAATGCGGGTTAGTTCCATCAAAAAGTTCTCCACAAAGGCTAGTTTGCCCCCAATACTTCATCCAGTAATTTCCCTGTCTTCTGGGTTGGCTTTAAAATTACAAAGCTACAAAGTAGAACAAGGATAGTCGTAAATTCAGAATTGGGTCTGCTGCTCAATGCCGATTATAAAATATAAAATAAAATATTTATCTAGTCTGCCTTTCAAAAACATTTTTGGTGATAATCCAGACCATGTCTAACACAGTAGTCTCATATACATTAAGAATTTTATTTTACTCCAAAAGAAAAAATAATGAATTCAAATTAGGTTGCACTTCTGGGTCATTGACAGTGATGCTGAAACTTATTTTACAAATAAGCTAGTTTACAAATAATAAAAATTTCTGTTGCTGCGTTTTCCAGGTTATTTAGCTAACGAGAAAATGCTTATATAATGCTTTATTAATTTTGACTCTTTGTTCTCAAGATTTATTGGCATAAACGTACTATATTTTTTTCAATCAAAAATATTAAGTTTAACTACTCTGCACTTTAAATTTCGCTTTTATTCTAAATTTGAATTGGGAACTGGTTAATTCCGAATACACCAAACCTGTTTAATTTATTTATTAAATCTAACTCTGGATGTTTTGCAATCGCATCCTTAATGTGTATTTTTTAAACTTTAGGCGATATCAACTAAAAACGTTACTTCGGCAATCAAACAGGTCTTAATGTTTTCTTCCCAACCTACCTCAATAGCGACTAATCAGATTTTGATAGCGGTATTGTTTTTCTTCTTCTTAAATGTTGAGGTTTGCGGTCTCTAATATGCATTCAGTTTAGCCGCTATATTCATTGCACTGGCTTAACAACATAACCCTAAGTCTAATGAAGCTGTAAGAGCTATTTGACACTGGCACATCATGAACACTTATTTCTAAACCTTATGTCTTATTTTTTCCCCTTTCGTTTTTAAAAGGGATTCTAATAAAGTGCAGTAAGTGTTATTTTACGGAGCACCTTTTATATTACTAAAACTAAAACCTATGCGTAAGAGGGAAGTTTTTGTTATAATTGGTTCAAAAAGATCAACAGTTAAAGAGTATTTTTTTTGTTGATAAATTTGATTTTTCTTAACACGTTGAATGCCATGGGGGTCACCGGTGACCGACACTGAGTTTGTTCGTAGAGTCCCGGCAATCACCGGTGACTGGCACTGAATTTGTTCGTAGTGCCACGGGGGTCACCGGTGACCGGCACTGAGTTTGTTCGTAGCACCACGGGGATCACCGGTGACCGGAGAAGTCAAGATTATTAGAAACACATAATTCGAGTAAATTTTTAACGCTTTTAATTTTTTTTATATTATTATCGTTACTAAAATAGTTTGAAGAAATTAATACAATACATACTAAGAAAATCATTTTGTAAATCAAGCCATGTAAAATTAGGGTGGCGTTAAACGTGTTAATATTTTACTGAAAGTATGAGCTCTAAAGCAAGAGCTATGTTACAAGCGAAAACTATGTATTATGAAAGTCGACTCTCCATAGCTGATGATATATAATGGAACAAAGTCTGGGTTTACTAATAGGGCCTTATAACATATCTTGTCTAGGGCCTTATAATATATCTAGGGCCTTATAAAAAGTCTTGTTTTATTTTTATTATTTGTTCTCTCTTTTTCTTACATCGATAAAATTAAAGGTATGCTATGCCAAATATTACATATAAAGTGCAACAGGCTTAGAAACACTCTAGATGTTCCGTCTGTGATTATAAATATACGAAATTCATTTCCACGGAGTCCGTATTACCATTTTGCTTGCTAAAATACATCGCAGAAACACAATGTGGTTTGAGATAGAAAGAAGCGGCAATGCATATTCGATTGATGCACTATGAGGAATCCGTAATATGAGTAAGAAACAAGGGTGGCACACATATCGAATAAATAGAACGAAGTGGGAAAAATAGATTACGGAGAAAAAAGAAAAAAAGTCTGGAGGAGAGCAAAAAAAATTGCCGTCGACATTTGTATGAGGAAGAGATCCGGAACCAGAGGAAAACGTCCGGAATGACCAAAAAGGCGAAGTGGGGGCCCATTGTCCATGCATGCCACGACCAAGACTCTTTCGGAAGAAAAGCCCGAAAAGAAGGGGGGTGGGGCGGAAAAAGTGTTGGTATTCAAACCCTCGCCCGCAATGCCCCCATAAAATATTAATCGAGGCAGGCAGTGGCGTCGCGTGTTGGTTGTTACATCTAACTCATTCGCTGCAGCTTCATTACCATTGCTAATGCCTTCCCTTTTCCACTACTACCATTCTGCTTCGGGTTTTGCATACATTACCGGGCGGAGGAGCAGCAGCAAACCGGCGGCGGGACCAGGAGAATCGGGTACCCGGCAGTCGCGCCGAGGCAGGCCCGCCGGCCGGTCGTCTTTTCTTCAAGAAGTTGGAGATAGGGTTTTTTTCCCCGTGTTGCGTGTTCCTTTCTGGAAGATGGGTTTCGTGTTTGATTATATATGTGACAATTGACTGGTATTGTTGAATGTGCGTTGTTGAAAGACCTGAGGAAGACAGGTAAAAAGGTGTTTTTTTAAATCTCTTACCGCGATGGGGGTGAACAGTCTTCGGTTTTTCTCGCGCCTCTGATGTGCGCTCCACGGCTGTATCCTGAAGACGGAGGAAGCAGTCTCGACCAATAAGGAGCCGTTTCTTATGACAGTGGTAGTGCATTCAGGGCGCCGTTAAATAATATTTTTATGCTTGCGTTAAATATCCTCGCTTTAATAATGAGGCCTATTTTTTGAGAAAAATGTGTATTTTTTTTGTTATTTGTTATAAAAATTAATTTTTTTTTTCTTATGCGTTAAAAACAAATTTATTTTAAAAAATGTATCAAAAATGAATATTTAATAATCTCATATGCTTGTTTATTTTATTATATTGTTTATTCAGAAACCTACCTTATTTGCTTGTTTTGAAAGACTTTGAAGGGTAAAAATTCCCTTTTTTTCAGAAAAAAGTAATAGTTTTTGTAAGTGCATGGTTCTGGAAAAGTGGCTTTGTAAATTTCACATAAATGTTCTTTTCATTTATTTATTTTGCTGAAGCAAATGGAAAAAAAAATATCAGCTCCGTAATCTTGGAAAAAATTTATTTAAAAATTTTATTTTACTTTTTTTTTTGCTTATTTATTCTTTTTTTACTGTACTGAAAGTAGCAACGCTGCTTTCTATAAAATTAAAAGAAAAAAAACATCGATTGCGAGAGAATTGATTATTTCGTATCAAACCTAGATACAGTATAACTCTGCTTATCCGAATCCCATTCATCCGATACTTCGGTTAACCGACACCCCTCCCGATTAGCAATTAAAGATTCCCCACACACGTTTCTTTATTATTACAGCTGATGTTACTCAAATACTGCTGCTTTTGTCATTTTGCAATTTAATACAGCATTCGATACCATACAATTACTTTTTCTTTCGTGATAGTATATCATTACTTTTGATAGAAAAATTGAATATTGATAGAATTTTTAATAGAAAAGTATCTATTTATATTGTATTATTATGTCTAAGTATTTTGAGTAATTTTACTCATTGTTTTACATTTATAAAATAAATCAACTTGAAGTGGTCAACTGATTATCCGACAATTTCGATTATTCGACTTACTCTTGCTTTTATGGGTATCGGATAATTGGATCTCTATTGTATTGAAAAGGCTGAAAAATTTATATTTCACCATTTCTATAATTTAATGTTTTTTTTTTGTTTTGTTAAATGACCTCGTGTAATTTTGGTAAATGATTGGTGTAAGTATGCTAACGGAAACTGTTAGAATAATTAACACTTCATATATTTTTTTTACCTGTTTTAAAATTTACTTAAAAATTTGCATATTTGGTAAATTTTGTACAAGAATTTTACACGAAATTCAATAATTTTTTTGTCTTATAGTTTAGATATAAGATTTTACCCTGATTTAATTTATCAAAACAACACTTTTATTATATAAAATTATCATTTCAACGAAATCGTAAGAATATTATTTTTATAGTTATCATTATTATCATTATTTTATTTTAATTTCTTATAGCCTTATGTTTTTTCACTATGAGTTCGAAGCGTAGCTAACTGACTATGTTTATAATTTGTATCCTCTGCTTAATGTTTAAAAACCTAAATATTCAAAACGGAAGAAAGAACTGGATTGAAAATAAGTCGAGTAATGAATTGCTTATAAAACATACACGTACTGTGTATGACACAATCCTTTCCATAGAGATCATAAGTTTTATAAAGAATTCATCATTAACTTTGCCATAAAAATTGGAGTTTCTACTGTTATTATTTATACTTCTTATTTATTGTACTTTGTATCTATTCATTAGCAATGTTTTTTTATTATCTTGAAATATTAAATATCATTTTAAAAACACTGCAATACGGTTTTATAAAGTCAAATCAATTGATTTAATAAAATAAAACATTTTAAATTATGCATCTGAAGATTCAAAACTTCGAAAGTGCTAAATTTTATTCTTCTATCAATGTCAGCAATTCAAATTACATTTATTGTGTACTTGATTTATATTTACTTAACCAATGCTTGTCTTAATTTAATCAATACTATTTTCATGAAATGTTTAGCTATGACAGATTAGATTAATTTCAGCTACATTTAAAAACTTAACCTGGAGACTTTATAGATTATCATATAAAACTGAAAGAAAAAAAACTTTGAAATCTAAATTATTTGCAGTCAAAATAATTAATGTAATATAATTTGAAATGCGAAATCAAACGATTATGTTTTATTTTTGTAAGGGTATTTTTGCGTGATTTGTTTAATTAATTCATGCAACTGCGGTGTTCATGCAAATAGTTTTATTAATTTATACAATAATGTCAAATTCATGCAACTTTAAACAGTGAAGCAGTTACATTTTTTATTATCTGTTACTTATAGATTAATTAAAATACAAATACGTGTATGAGCGTGGTAAAAGCGAATGAAATAAAACTATTCTTATGAAACTCTCTCATTTTTTTTAAAAAGAATTTCTCATCTGCATAAAACTCCTTTTAAAGAGCTACTATGGAAACTGAATTTAGTTATTATAGTTCATTTAATTCAGAACTCAAACATTTCATTCTAAGAAGTATTTAAGTAGCAACATTTGAAATGCAATAAAAACATCATCTATCACAGTAATTATTTAATAAAAAACATTATTAATATTTTTTTTCTTCGCTTTTATTTTAAATATTTATTTATTTACTTTTGAATGAGAATGACAATAATATTGGAATTGGGATCTAATGCAACATTTGCATTTATAGGCGAAATCATCCTGTCTAAATTATAACGGCTACAAGATCGTACCCATTCCCATAAGCTTTTTATTATTTTACAAGAATGAAAAGCATAAATGAAGAGGGAGGTTAACTAAAATACAGATCTAAGTCCAAAATCAACCGTCATTCTAAATTATTTGCGATTGCAGGGTGTTCAGTAACAACCTCCCTCAACATATACTTTTAGAATCTTTGACCGAAATGAAGTAAAGTAAAATGTATATAATTTACTGTTACTGTATGCAATGTATACAATTTATTATTTACTATTCACTATTTTTAAACTATTACTGCTGAAAAAGTCTAACTGAAAATTTGCAAACCCATTTGAACGAGTCGTGGTGGCTCAGGGGATAGAGCGTTCGTCTTTTAATTCTGTGAACCCAGGTTTGAATCCTAGCAATGGCTGGTTGATACGAATTCTGCTCCCGACTCGTACTGACCACAGTGCTGACGTAAAATATCCTCAGTTATAGACAGATCATGAGTTTGAATCTGCTTACAGTCTGGTTGGCCATGGGAGGTTTTCGTGGTTTTCCACACCATGTAACGGAAATGCGGGTTAGTTTCGTCACAAAGTCCTCCACAATGGCTAGTATATCCCAATGTTTGATCCAAGAGTTCTCTTGTCTTCTGAGTTGGATTCAAAATTACAAGTCTACGGAGCTGAACATTGGTACTCTTAGACTCATAGTTGGATCGGCTGTTCAACACCGATTATAAAATAAAATTAAACCTATTTGAATACCGGATGAGTTAGAAGGTGATTAATAGATACTACTCCAGGTATCATCAAGTTTCACCTCGCCTTCCTCATTAGTGAATAGACAACGATTTTGCTTCTTCCCCACTTAAACATTAATTTAATATTTGCATACTTTTCGTTCGGTTGCTTAAAGTTTATATTTAAAAAAGGGGATTACGAAACATTCCGTGTATGCGATTTGAAATATACTTTCATGCATCTAAATCTTGTTAATCATGATGTTTTACTGTCTTATAATAAAGTTTGCGTTTGATACGTACTTTACTCCCCCGAAAATACAACACAACTTATATTTAATTGCAAAAATATTTATGTGATGAAATGTAACACTAGCCTAACACTAATAGAATTATTTGTTTAAAAACTTAATTTGGTTACTATTATAATCAATTTTAAAATAACCCATAGCAAAATCTGGAAAAGAAGTCCTTATAATAAAGATTGAATATCTGTTATCGAGTGTGTAAAACCGCTGCTACAGTATCCATTATTTTCCTGCAGAAAGTTACAGTTTTGCTTTGTAATGTGTTAGTCAAGTTCATTCCTTTCAGTCAAATACCTATATATATATATTTTACAGGCCCCCGTCTTCCATTCTTACATCCGTAATCAATTACGGAAGAAAGAAACTCGTAGGAATGAGAAGGGGAAAAAAAGACCTATTTAGTTACGTACGGTTGCTTGGTTAGGACGGTCTTTATCTGTTTGTCGATCTGGGAATTCTATTAGCGTTTGCTTTGATTTGATTTAGATTGGACGAAGGAAATAGAAAATTGAGTGCAAATGTCTAAAAGATACGCCCATCTATTAGTTGAGAAAACAGACTTCGAAGAAATTGACAGATGGGCTTTTCTATTATAGGACCTTGAAACAGATACTAGATAACGTTATAGAACTGTAACAAAAATATCAATTCATATCTAAACTAGCAAGCATATTTTAGATTTTGTACAAGACCATGGTTAAAAATCTCATACAAAATTGTAAGGAAAATCCAACAAACAAAAAACAAAATTATAAGCAAAACTATTAAGACATTTTATAAAAACTAAAAGTTGTGGTTAATATTTTCAGCAATTAAAGTTATTATTATTAATAATAATAATAATAATTTTCTGTCCGAAGGTAGACTGATCAAAAAAACACGATTACTAGTCGAGCGCCGAAGGCAATCATCACTGGAGTAAGCGGGCTGGTGATCACTTTGATCAGCTTGCGTATGAACCAAGAGTGTACGGTATCAGTCCTCGTTAAACTGTTCTACCACAAAATGATCAACTTCGGGTTCAGATCAGAGAGCTACCAAAGTGGGGGGGGGGCATCCCCTCTGCAGAGGTTCAAAATTGGGATGGCATATCTTCGAATCATCTTCAGGGATGTCTCCCAGACCGTCGCCAATAGCCCATGGTGCAGTTCTAGTGCAACGTAAATAAAGAACCTACTTAT